GAGAGACAGAGAGAGAGACAGAGAGAGAGACAGAGAGAGAGAGAGAGAGAGAGAGATGAGGGAGTGACAGAGCACAAATTGTGCCTTTTTTTGTTCGTTCATTGAACAAATAACTCCCTGCCCTGACAGACTTCCCTCCCCGCCCACACGGTATTGACCATTGATTTCCTTTCCGATTCTGATTCCAGGTAAAACTCAGGCTGGTTACAGCGATACTGATATGATTACTTATACTTTGTGCAAATGTGTCTAAATCCAAAAAAGTAGTGTAGGTCAATACAAGACCTCAGAGTGATTAATTTATTTTAAACCCTGAAGTACATTGATGTAAAGTTCTCATTTACAATATACATTAGTTATGGAATTAATGGAACAAATAACAACAGCTATCGATCAAATACAGTATTGTTTGAGTCTTTATGTAGTTTTAAAGAAAGCATTCGACACAACTGATCACAGTACTCTTCTTGAAAAATTAAGTAAATATGGTATTAGAGGATTGGCACTAAAATGGGTATCTAGTTATTTGAAAGATAGGAAGCAGTTTGTACACATACATGGTGTAAGATCTAAACTTGGTAATATCGCATGTGGAGTCCCTCAAGGCTCTGTACTGGGACTTAAGTTATTTATTTTATATGTGAATGACTTAGTAAATGTGTCAGGACTTTTCAAATGTGTTTTATTTGCTGAAGGTACAACATTTTTTTTTGTTTAATGATATAGAAAAATGTTTGAGATGGTACAGAAAGGATTTGAGAAAATACAAAATTGGTTTCAAAAAAACAAATTATCATTAAATTTGGATAAAACAAATTACATGACATTTAGTATCAGGAAGACAACTGTTGATTTCTCATTTAAAGTAGATGGTATTGAAATCTGGATGTCATCATTGATGACAAGCTGACATGGAGACCTCACATACATTATTTAAGAACAAAAATATCTAAATCTGTTGGAGTACTGTATAAAGTCAGGGAGTTATTTAATGACAAAGCTCTGCTTGTGTTGTACAGTTCAATAATTGTTCCACATTTCATTTACTGTACTGAAGTCTGGGGTAAAGCTTGCAAAACTATTACAAATCCAATTTTTGTTTTGCAGAAAAGAGCCATAAGAATTATCACTAAAAAAGGTTACAACCATCCATTTAATACATTATTTTGCAAACTGAAAATTTTTAAATTCTATGATTTGGTTGACTATAATATTTTACTGTTTAAGTACAAGGCTCATAAAAACATATTACCTTCCAACATTCAGGCAAATTTTGTTAAGAAAGACAGTTATTATCTTAAGGGGATGGAAATGTTTGTGAAGCCATATTTTCATACTTGCTTGAAAGAAAGATTTACTTTAATCCAGAGTATAGTTTAATGCAGGGTATAGTTTAATCCAGAGTATAGTTTAATGCAGGGTATAGTTTAATGCAGGGTATAGTTTAATCCAGAGTATAGTTTAATGCAGGGTATACTTTAATCCAGGGTATAGTTTAATCCAGGGTATAGGTTTGTGGAATGGTCTGGAGGATGATCTTAAAAATGCTAGATCTATGTATATGTTTAGGAGACAGATAAAAGCTAGTTTTTTGAAGGTACAGTAAAATGTGAAGCTATATGAATTGTTTGAGTTTATGCTTATTTAGTATTATTTTGTAAATTATGTTTTCTTTTAATATATTCTGGGGATAAAAGGGGCAGACATTTTAAGATTTATTTTTCTTCTGCTACCTTTCATTTTGTTTTGATTTGTATATTTTCTTTGTTTTCTACTATTGTATTTGGTTATTTTGTTTTTTAATGTAATGAATAAATTTTTTGAATTGAATTGAATTGAATTGAATCAAATAGTTGAGTTAATATGACAGAAAAAACATTCAGGTCACAATCACACTTGTCTCTTCTTAAAGGATGAACATGCAGTTTTAATGTTTGGTTTAGCTGAACGACTTTTCTTTGCCCTCAAATAATTATTGAAATATTTCTGATACGCACCACCT